GTCGGGGGGCGCCGCGATCCCCCCCCGCCGAGGCCTGCAGAGGTATTTGTTGAAGTGAAATTCCTTCTCCAGCTCCAGCAGCTGCGTGTTGGTGTACGCGGTCCGGAGCCTCCTGGAGCCGCCGGTGTCCGCCAGCCCCTGGGTGTCTTAAACACAAAAACCGCACGATGCAAAGAGAGGGAGCGGGGGCGAGTGAGGGTGTGGACCCGTCCTCGCCCCGTTGCGCGCAGGGCAGAGCTGTGCCCCGCACTAACGAGCACGGAGGGAGGGGGGCAGAGCTGCTACGAGAGAAAATAAATGCTTAATTAAACTCTTCCCGCTGTGGAAGAAGGTTGGAAATCACTCTCCGGCCCCCGTGCCCCAGGAAGGAGAAAGGATTTTGCTCCCCGGCCTCTCCCTTTAGACACCTTCCTTTTCTGCCACCTTCGCGCATAAGGGGAATTTCGACCCGTTCCGTTCCTTCCTTTTTTTCTTCTTCCTCCCCCCCCCCCCCCTTTTTTGTGCTGCCAGTAGCTTGGGTCGGACGCTGCGGGGCTTTGACTTCGTTATTCCTCTATTATCCGGCCAATGAGCCCCGGCTCCCGCCCTTCTGCCCCGGCGTTTACCTGAAGGGTGCTGTTAACATGAATTGTGCCTTAAATGTTTTGTCCCGGGGGAAGGACGGTCCTTAGCCAGGGCTGCTCCCCGGCCAAGAGGCGCCTCGGAAAAAGGCTCTTGCTTTACTGGGGGGCTGGGGCAGGATTTGGGGGTGTAGTTGTTTTATTGTGCAAGGGGGAGCTGGCTCTCCCCGCCGGGCTGGGCGCCGAGTCCTGCCCTCGCTCTTTCTAACCCCCCATCCTGCTGGCAGCAGCCCCCGCGTACCCCGCCCGCCTTTCTTCTCCCCCTCCGCTCTTCTTTCGGGTTTGTGTTTTGTTTTCTTTCTTTTTTTTTTTTTTTCTGTAGGCTGTAAAAAAATTCAGGCTGAGAGAAAGTCAAGCAAATGGAGCTGTGACTGAGTGGGCAGGTCCCCCGCTGGAGCTAATGCGGAGCGCGGCTCCCCCGGCCCCTCTCCCGCTTGGCTTTCGCCGAAGTTACAGCAATTTGCTCTTTTATTTGCGGGGGGAGGAGGGAGGAGACACCCCCCCCACACACACACACACACACCACAAAGGGGAGCGCGGTGGAAACGCGGAGCTCGTTAACGGGGCTGAGGGGGGCCGGGGGCCTGGCTCCGG